CTTGAACATTTTGGAGGTGTGTCCCTAGTTTGGCTTAAATATTTATGAACAACTTGAAGAAGTGGATTAGAATAATTCATCTATAAATAGATTTAAATTTAAATACAATATAAAAATATCCAAAATTACATGAAAGTAGAAATTCCAAATTTATAAATACAAAGGTGTCACAACATTTATTTCTGTCCAGGAAAAATACTAATTATGGAATAGATGTATAATATAGGTTAATGTTATATGTACTACTAAACTTAACATAAACAATAACTATTATTATTATTATTATTATTATTATATATATTGTATTTTGATTTTTTAGATCTTTACTATTTTAATTGATTTTGGAATAAAAATATTTATAAAAAAAAGTAAAAATGAAATTGTCTTGTGATAAAATTAAAAATAAAATAGAGTGATAAAATAACATGTAACTATACCAGAAATATAAATGTAATTTATTCTAATTAATTTTTTAAAAAATAATCAAATTAAAAATCTAATAAATTACAATATATTTTAGAATTTATTTTAGCATAAAAGAAGCAAATTCTACTGAATTATGAAAAATGAAAAGACACCTCTATTAACAATCTAGTATAAAATTTGCTTATTCCTAAGTTTCTTATGTTTAACAGGAACAATTATTACTACTTCAAAAAAGATAAAAGAAATCAAAATGCTAAAAGATAACAAGTAAACCTTAATCTTAAATTCCCTGTTTGTAAACTACATGTTTTGTATTGGAATATGGTTATAAAAATACTTGAATTGTACGAAATGCTAGGACATATTTCCTTTTGAAAACTAATCTTGAATTGTAAAAGTAATAAATAAAAAATTAATAGAACAACTGATATTTTATAAGGTTAGATGCAAAGCTGTGATGGAAAATGCCACGCATTAAGCCAAATATTGTATTAGCAATACTTACAACAAGAATTTTTCATACATGATGTAGTAATTTTCTATTCATAAATTTTCAGGAAACAAAAAGAGACTAAAAAATCCGGAAACGAAAATAGAAACATTGCATGCATGAACAAAAAAACATGAATCACACTTGCTATTTATGAAAAACTAAAAATATCCATAAACGCAAAGACGGATTTGTGTGTTAGTCACATTTTCTAATAAGTAAACTTCGTTGAAATGACGCTACTTCCAACACATATAAGTCAGCTTCATCCACAGTAACAGAATCCGCTTCATCATCCAAACCTTCATCCGCCCCACCGTGAAAATTAACGGAAACGTGACACGCGGCGGCCCGACATGACAATAAACGGAAACGTGGGACGCGTCGATCCGACAAATACCCCGTCAAACACCGAAACGAAACATGATGCCACGTGGAAAAGCTTACTCGCCTCTTGCGAAAAGTGAAAGAATGTGATTCTACCGATGCCAGTGTGACCGCGACCAGCAATAGAGCCACGTCAGCATGGAGACAATTCCCGTGACATTTGTAAAGTTCACCGTCAAACAAGCGAGATGACAAGGTGTTGATGCTGACTGGGACGCAGGTCAGCAGAGAGTCTCACTGGTGGCGCTGGTGTGAACGCGATTCACATCACGTGCGAATAGCGTGCTTCCGATGGGTCCAGCTCGGATTTCGTTGCCCTCGTGAAAAAGGAGCTTCGTTTGGAAAAGGTTAACACGTCAGAAACGAGGCATACTCAGAATGGGTTAATTAATATATATTTTTAGCATGTGTGAATTCTTTTGGCCTCTGGTTCCATTACAATGATTCATTTGAAATAGCTGCTATGTGTATATGTGTGAATATATATATATATATATATATATTTAAATATTTAATATAAATGTGTAATTTTTGTAAGAAGTTATTTGTGAATTTCAATAATAAGTTTATTTAAGAAAGTATTTTATTTCCTATTTTAGACGTAATAGTAGTTACAAATATAAAGCACTTATGAGTTGATTGATCCACTCCTCAAATTTAACAGCAACATTGTATATTTATGTCATGCCATTTCATCCACCAAATTTGATATTTGTAATTTTGTAGTTCACCCATGTATATATATATATATATATATATAGAAAAAATTATCCATTCAAAAAAGACTCCAATATTTGAAGACTAAAGCACTTAATATAAAAAAATGATTAGGAATTCTAAAGGTTAATTTAGAAAGATTCATATTCATTTTTAATACAAATCTATATATATATATATATATATATATGCGCAAAAAACCACCTATAATTTAAATAGATGTAAAGATGTAACAAAACTATTTAAAGCACAAAAATAATCCTCTAAGTTTTAATATTGTTATTTAAAGCTATTTATATAATTTCAAACCACTATAAATAATACAAGAATATGTCAATTAGTCTTCAAAATTATGTTACAGTAAGAAAAATGAATGTTTATTTTTTTTGCAAAATCATTAATAATCATATGTATATTTCAACATTCTTTTGGTAATATTCTAAGAGAATATCAAATCAAACACAACATTACGATGGAAGCTTTTCATATGTGCAACTCATTATCAATATAATAAAATTTCCATCATAATGTTATGTTTGATTTATTATCAATATAATGAAGTTTGTGTATAGATTGTTAATGCTTATTTTTTTATTTTATTTTATTTTTACATTTCATTTAGAAAACCTAACATTATTTTAAAGTCAATAATAAAGAATAAATTCTTGTATTGAAACCGATAGAAAAGGACAATCACACCACATGTTATCAGATCAAAACACATGAATGCCACACTGCAACAAAAAATATTATAAATTCACTGGATAATAACAAGATGTTTTTACACGTGTCTAAAAATAACTATTAATATTAAACAAAATTGCAAGTACTTTTCTAAGTTGTTGCTTTCTAAATAGACGTACCAAAAATCTAAAGATCTATTACCATTGTCATATTAAAATTTCAAATTTTTTTATTATCAAGTAATTTATTCAGTAGAGGATTCAATTCAAAATTGTGAAATTTTTAATTTTAAAAATCTGAATAGTTCAATTAAAGCAATAAAAGATAATTTTATATTATATATTATTTTGTATAGTTAAATATGATAACATAATATTATATATATTTTTATACATTATGTATGTTTGAAGAAAATATATATTTATATATACTAAATTTAAATCATAAAACTTTGTAACCACAAGTAGGTAGTAGTATCATATATCTGTTGTAGCCTATTAAACTATCTAGTGCACTAATGACATACATGTTTGCAAATTAATTGATCTATGGATGACTTTGCACTACATTTTCAATATATATATATATATATATATATATATAATTATAAAAATATAATCCATGTCATTTACCTATGGACTTGTGCTATATGAAAAATGAAATTGGAAGAATGTAACAAATGACTTTGTTTTTCTTTACATCATTAATGAACAAGTGATAAGTTCATTTATATTCATAGGATATGAAGTTCACTTATATTCATAGGATAAGTTCATTTATATTCATAGTATATTCATAGGAAGTTTTAGTTCATGTGTTACATTTCCTTTTGTATAAAACCCAATTTAAAGCTATCTGTCTTACACTCATGCCACCTTGTCCTGCTGAATAAATGGGGCAAATCCCAGGTCCCACATCTTAGTCTTCCTCTTTTGTATTAAGGATGTTGCATATGTAGGACTTGATACATTTTTGCCCAATTAGAACACTTGTTCTCCCGCACAATGCAATGCTTCCTATATGACACAATGCCAAGTTGTTGGTCCCACATGCCCACCACTTTTGCATCCTACCGCATTCACAATAGAATCACAAAAAGGAAGATATTCTATACAGGATGGTTGAATGGATGGATGGGTGTCTAAAAGCTAATTTAAGGGTCAAAACACCAAATGGGAGATTTATTTTTTATTTTTTATTATAGAGCTGGGGTGGTGAAGGTCTATGATTACTATGCAAAATCAATTTCAAATGTAATGAAGAGTAAGAATAAGTAAATTTTCAATAGAGGTGGTGTTCAAAAAATATTTGGTGAATCTATGAAGGTGCAATTTACAACCTTTGTTATGCTTAAAATAAACAAATAAAAAAACTGATATTAACTTAAAAGTACTAACCTTAAATTAGATTTTTTAATTTGTAAGTTCAAGCCTGATATTGTGTGAAAGCCACATATGCATAAACACACAATTTAATGATAGAATGTGTTGACATTGTTGAAGGACAAGTGCACCTAAGCTTCAATTTTCTGTGTGAATTGTGTGTAGTTAGGCTGACTTTGACAGTGGGTCTCAGTGAAAGGCTCCGACGATGGACGATCTGAGTTTGAACGATCGCAGCGGAACAGTTTCCTCGCCAGGGAATGTGTGGGTGCACACGATGGAGAGCAAGAAAAAAGGCCTCAAACCTCTCGCCGCCGGTGAATCCAGGGAGTCTGGCGGTGACGCAAATGGAACAAAGAGAAAACCACGTTGAATCGTTATGCCAGGTGAGGACGACAGCCCGGTGGGGCCCTGCAGATCTAGCGGAGGCAAGGTTTTCTTTTTTTCTTTTTTTGTGGCACAAATGAAAAAGTTTCATTGCAGGGAGTAACTATTACAGAACTAGACACAGATGGAGTTAAAATACCCCCGCCTGGCTGGAACTGATCAAGTAACTCGAAGTAGTATATAGTACAACCCAATTGTGAGGTAATTGATAGGACTAGTTTCGTGTAGGTTGCGCATCCAGTGGATACTACGGCTGCGTCTTGAACATAGGATTAGCGGAGGCAAGGTTCAATGGCCGCGTGGGCCAATGAGAAAGTGAGTTTGCATGCAAGAGCAACAGAAAGCGACAACCAATCGCATACCGAACCGAGATTATCATCCACGTACACTGCCTACATGCTACGCTTTTATCTCTACATTCTCTACATGCAGAGCTGACAGCATGTGAAGCAGCATTCAATGTAGTCACAGTAGGGACGGTTGACAGGGGGCCATAAATTGCACCGCCTGCTGAAGTCGACGAAGCCTTGTGTAAAATGCTCCAACTTTATTGCAAGATATGGGTTAACACCTTACAATCCTCATTCTAAAGACGAGGAAAGGAGTGAGGTCAGGATAGTGGGTTACAGGTGTAGGGGATTCAGAATCGGGTTCATCACCATCGTGTGATGGTGTAAACACAACGAGGGAGAAATATGACCCATCTAGAGAGCAATAACCGTTTGGACTCTGTAATTTACAACTAAATCTCTGAGGTCTTATACTATATATTGTCGTATCGAAGGTAAGATCTCTACACAGAAGTACATGAGCCAAGGCATGTAACGGAAGTCCATGGTCGGGGGTGAATGTTTACCACAATGGGGGGTCTTCGTCGTCATTGTCATCGTCACTGTCGTCGGAGTCGTTGTTGGGAGGCCGGATCATCAATCCACGAGCCATCTCGTCGACTTGATTGTATGGATTGTCGTCAAAGCTGCGCCACCCGTCGTTGTAAGCCGGCTGTGATGGTGTTCCGTCATTGGTATTGCTGGTGCTCTCGTTGTAGGTGATATCTTCGACCTCGTCTTCGCTATCCGAGGAGGAATCTGGTGACATGAAATTGTTGTAGGAGAAAGGACGACCCGCAGATTGAGCAGCCGCAGCAGCGGCGGCGGCTTGGATTTCGCGTGTGGTGTAGCGCCCAGGGGTTCCAGCCGGAAGTCTGTAGTTGAAATTCGGAAAATTGAGATTCGCGGTTGAACCACGGAGGCACAGCAGAGCAGCGTCATAAGCATGCGCCTGTTGGAATCATCAGCACCCACGATAAAAGCTCAGTTTGCAATGATTTAGATTTGATACGAAAACACACACCAGCCCAAACATGCGACCCCGGATAGAATATCGAAAAGACTGTTTAAGAATGAGTTACCGCTTCCTCAGCAGATCGAAATGAGCCAAGCCAAATGCGATTCGTTCGCGAACCGCTTCGCTGCGGCTCCCGGATCTCCGACACCCACTTTCCCCAGCGCCTCATCCGAACACCGCGATAGCTCGAACCTGCATTGTTTGACATGATGTGAATTCGAACACCTTCGAACAAGTAGTCTTAGAGCTGCGGAGGGAGACGATGACGAACGTTCTAGGTGAGCCAATTCACCAGGCTACTGAAACTCTGCACACGGAAACAATCACATAGTTGAAGTGTAAGACAATTGAATGGTTCGATGCAGAGATAACATGATCATTTTCGCAAATTCAGATCATACACAAGCCACTGTGAACTTCACGGCGATCAAGAATTCTAATAGTCGAAGTTGACAAGACAGCTGCGGAAAATTGCTTCTGCATAACTTACCAAGAGAGAGTGAAGGAACTGAGCTTAATGTGATATAGATGAGACTACTACTGAAACTCAATATAATATCCAGTGAATCCATGTCGCTGGTCATTCGATGTTTAAGACATGAATGCTTCACTAGACAATGTAGACCAGGCAAACAACATAACCTTGGCATCGTGGACCGCAAGACTGGAGTGCACGCCTACACTCCAACAAAGGCCACAGTAGCATTCCAAGTAGTTTGCAGTTTCAATTCAACACAGTCAATACCGATCATGACTCATGAATGCATGAGTAATTCCAGCGGCGACTCCGAAGTCCACTGTTTATGCAGATTGACGGAGCTGCATGCAATGCGAACCCCAGTGTTCGGTGATCTTGCACTACCAAGCAACAAGGACCTGGAGAGCATCGGCTGGAGCTGGTTGCACCGAACTTACTTTTCGGAATTATGAGGCAAGTCGGATAGATCGCATTGATGCACGATGGAGGAGATACAATGTGGCGCTCCAGCCAATGCGACGATTCTTCGACGGATGTTAGGTCGCTGTGGACAACGCAGGCCATGTGTGAAGTGCGTTAAATATCCGAATGAGCCTGGAAAACGACACATACCATTCGCACACAACCTCCGTGGGCACGTTTCTCTCGCTGGGCCCGCACTTGCAACGCTGGGGTCCGTCCGATCTGTGAGCAGCTCACTCCAGATTCCTCTTCTACTACTCCTTTTAATTTCACCGCTCGCCACAGGATGATTATTTTATTCTCGGAAACGCGACCCCGCGATGGACCCCACCCCCCTCCAGTGCATCCAAGAGCTTTGGAGTCGCAAAATCGGAGCAAACACTGCGATGTGAACAGTAGCATCTCAATGTCTGCGTTGGAATGGATTATAATTACCTAAAATAGCTTACTAGGCTGCCAGTTTCAAAGCATGACAAAGGAGCGCGTCTGATAAAGTTGCACTAGCAACACACCTCACCGCCCCTGATAGGATCATTCATTTCCTTGAGGTCAATACCAGTTCGTTTGTTGTAATTGGATTCTACATCGAACGCATGTACACACTTCATGGAGCATGAGGGGCGTTCGCGGAGAATGTGAGATTTCCGTTACAAATGGACATGGGTTGTTCCACTCACTGGACTCGGCTGCAAGCCCGCGTGTCTGCGAATCAATGTTGCCGCTATTCTCCTCCCAAATATTCGATATTCCAGCCCCACTAAATCGCTGCAATTAGTCCAAGAAAGTTGCATTCTTCGTAATGTCCATCGCTATAGTTGCAGGGTTTCTACGTGCGCAACGAGTTCAAACTCTTTTCTGCAATCATGCGATCGCTTTTGGTTTCTGCGGGTTCCCTTCAGTTTTTATTTTTGTTTTTATTTTTTAAATTTCTTCCGAATATAATTTCGTGGCTTGGTCTGAGGTGCATTTACTGTGAACCTAATGTGTTCATATTCGTTTTTCTCAGTATATTCCGCTCCACGAAACAACTTTCTTTTTTTTTCTTTTTTTCTTTTTTTTTTTTTTCCTTTTGAATATGTTGAATCTACCTCCCCGGGGTTTCTACCTCTCCTGCGTAATCTCAAGTGTCACCCAATCGTCATGCAATCATTGGAATATTGAAGGCTGTCACACAGGGACACTGCTCTAGATCACCGCACAACCAGTCTATCCCTCATTACCAATATTTCAAATCCACCGAACTCTAATCATTGGCCAACCATTCCAAGCGTCTCTTACGTGGAAGTGTAGACTGGGGGCACCAGCGAAGATCATACCGAAAAATCCTTGCTCGTCCTCATTGCTAGTTTAAGCGTGTGAACGCCCCATGTATTCCAAGATCAGAACCCGTAGCAAAGCGGAATTTCGGTGCCGTGAGAATCAGAACGACGGTAAGAAGAGAGTGGGGACGGCCCCACCGCGGTGGTGAAAAGGTTATATTAAATTTGACGATCGAGGTTATTGTGAGTAACATTTCGGTGACTTCTTCGCCTGTTAAAAAAAAAGGCTCCCATCACAAGGCAGCTGGCAACCATGCATTTGCCACGCTGCCAGACATGGGTGGCTGAACTTCTGTTTGATGTTCAAGCCGTCCTCTATAATTACCCCATCAAAAGCAGTCTAAACTTGATGGACACTTCCATCTCAGATTTCCCACCGAAGAACTCCGACTGCATGGAAGTTGTGGAATGAGCAGTCTGCCTCTTCTCAGGATTTGACATTCTGACCCTAAAATTAGCCCAGGTGCGATGTCGAGAGGTATTATCCCTGGGCGTCTTGTTAGGCTGCAAGACCTCAACCCCAAGAATCATATGCGATTCCAGCACTCCCAGCTTTTCCATTCGCAAAAAAAGTTGTTCCCCTAAAAGACAAAACCGCGTAAAGGCACATACAGAAGATTATGCTTCCTTCATTTCGGGATCGCAGGCATAATCCGTGCTCCTTGAGCTGGAGGCGATGCAGGCATAGTTATCGAGGAACTGTGGAGAGTCGCACCAAACACCGGCGCACATCGGTGCACACGTGTGGTTCAATTCTCGTCTGCACTCAATTCAATCGAGAAATTATGCGCGCAGCATCTGTAATTTTCCTGGCTGCGGAGCTTCCACCCCAGTTCGGTTATTTGGTGCAACTTCCAATCCGATCCATACATGAATCTAATGGATTTAAAACCCTTCCCTGCCTGGTTTGCAGCAATTGGATTCATCGAACTGAAGCAGCTCAAAGCTTGGCTACTTGTTTGGAAGGCCAGTGCTTGTTTTGCGCAACAATATTCCTGATTTGAATGCTAAATCAACCAGGAGCTTGTCTCTTTGAAAAAATTGCCTGCAACTGCAACATCGATGCAAATCAATGCTTAAGGGTGTGGGTGTTGCTACGATACATATATGCAGTTCCAGCACTTACGTTTGTTTTTCCATCTTCAATCAGAACTGCTTCATTAATTCAAAAAATTAGAGATGAAGGATAATGCTGATTTGTTTTTAGATTTGCATAAGATTTTACATATGATGTACCATACAAACTGCAAAGCATCACTTGAGTTTGATCCCACAATTAGGATTTTCATATTTCTCCTTTTTTAATGAACGAAGTAAAACGCTCCTGGAAACTAAACTAGTTAACATGCCTCATTATTATTTACTCTGAAGTTTCCTACGCACTATTTAGATTGGGGTCAGAAGAATATTCTCTGAACTTGTGTTCCAAAGCATCCTTGATTTTGGACTTCACAAAAAAACAACCCAGCCCAATTCAAAATATTGGATTTAATAATAGCGGAAATGTGGGCGATGGATGCATAGTGTCCTTGCAAATGGAAGCCTCACTGGGCTCCACTGACACAACCGGATTCAGTACGAAAATTCTTTCCACCGAAGACTGCAGAAAAGCAGAGTCCATCGGAAAGCCTTTACCAACAGACAATGAGGACTTTGGGAATCAAGGCAGCTTGAGAAGCTACGTCCTCCTGCCAAGTCAATCACATCTAGACCATATCTTCATCTTCCCAATTGTATGGAGCAACTGTATGGTTGCAGCAATTTTCAACCTGTATAACTTTTACCGTAGCTTGTTGGTTCTGAACTAACGAGAAATAATTTCGTTGATCAGCTTTGCAGTTATCAGACACCCTCAATTGACCCGCAACCGAAAGAAGGAATTTTATGCCTTTGGGATACAAGTAATCATAATGCAGGAGGAATTTTCAACCCAGGGTGCGAGAAAAGACGAGAGAGCTCATCTCATTGAAGCAGTGTGGGTCAACTCCAACCGATTTTCCATGTCGTGATGGGACAAGACGCAGTCAAAACCCGTGTGACAAGTTAAAGCGCTGACTGGAATCAGGAATCGAGTATTGTTCCACAATGACAGTCAAGCCAATCCGTGTGAAACTCGTTAAGGCTATAATAATAACAAAAGAAAAGGAAAGGAAATTTTAAAAATGTGGGAAGGATCTACACAGATTTTAACGACGAGAAAAAACTGGAGGTGGGATGAGACCCAAAGTCCAAACCTCTCCACCGAGACGCAGAGTTCAACTCGAATTGCTGGCGGTTGGCACCTCTACTGGCTCAAGCCAGATTAACATGTGGAAATCTACCAGCAGGTGGACAAATGCTCCTTTGCTTGCGTCGAATCGCGGCATCATTGACGAGCCACGACGGGTTGTGCACTTTACCGAAAACCCTAGAGAAAGCACCAAACCAGCGGTGCCATTGACTAATTTTTTCAACATCGTCGAGAATCCTTGCCAAAGGCATCGCTCGACAGGATACTCCAGGAGAAACGAGAGAGAGTCTCCGAAAAAGCCATGGCTTCCGTGGAGGCAGGGCTAGCCTAGTTCTGTATAGTGGTTCCCGAACAAAGCTACAATCCTCGTTTCTGCGCAAAAGCAAGGAATTATACTTCTTTAAGAGGCAAGACGCTTGTGCGCCCACACATGGCAGCTTCAAAAACCCAGCTGGTCAAAGCTCGTCGCCATTTCGGCGCATCAAACCCAGCTTTCGGAATTCGATTTGGCTCCATGGCCTTGCGTCACCAGTCAAAGGGATTCATTCAGCTTCTCGACGCGAAACCCTAAATCACTCGGGCCACTCCTCATTGCCTGGTGGGAAACGGGCTTTCTCTCGAACGGGATATTAAAAGAAGTCTTTTCATTTATTTCTATCTTTGTATGGTTTTTTCGACATCTATAGTATCAAAATTAATATAGTGTGGAATGGGGGAGGATATTACAAGAAATCCTTAGTGTTTTTTTCCAATCCAAAAGAATATGGAATTTTTTAGTTTTTTTAAAGTTCTTTTTTCTAGTTTAACTTTTATTTCATATGCATTTTTTTCCAACTTGTCAAAAAAATAATACAATTAATTATACATTTGTTTGATATATTTAACCAAGTGTAGGTGCAATCTTCTAGACTTTTCACCTACATGGACCTAAGTTGAGAGATAAATTAAAAATTAAAAAACTATAGGAATATAGATGTTATAAACTCATAAAAGCTTTGGCATACATTGAATATAAAAAAAAGAAGTCATGTAAGTGACATATACTCTTTGAAATAAGGTTGTTTATTTTATTTGAAGAGAACAATAGACAAAGAATGATATCAAGACAAGGTTTTTTCATACAAAGAATAAATATAAGAATGTAGGTAATTTTAAGAAGCATAAAAAACTACAAGAGGTAATTTATATATTTATTTTATGAATTAAAATTATTTTAAATATTTTAATATTAGATATAATATAAAAATATTGGTAATATAGGTACAAGTATCAATATTAACCTATATATAGATTTATATAAGTTCTTGCTATAATTGATAATATGATATATCTTTCAAAGAAATATAATAATAATAAGGAGGATTTATTATCTTTGATAAAAGTCAAAAGTAAAGAAAAACTAAAAATATAAAAGAATATGAATATATCAAGGTAGATTTTTATTATTTTTAAAAGATCTTGCTAAGATACTATCAAATATTTTAATTTAAAGAAAAATGTTGTCCATAATAAGGATCAGATGGATTCTAAGGCTAAATTTATAAAATACATAATTA